TATACATTGACCACGCATCCGGAATACATGATGACGCTTAACAAGCCGTCAAAATGGAGCAGCTGGAAGAGCAAGTTTTACTTGGTTTCTTCCCCATCGTTGCGCCTAAACCACTGGCTGCGTTACTACAATAAACACCCAGCTCTCCTTGGAAAGAAATGCGCCCTTCCTAGAGTATCGGAAGAGGCTTGGGCGCACATAATGGAGACGGGGCTCTTTAAGAAGACCTCCCTTCCTTTGGATGATGGGACTGAAGTCATTGTCCCCAAGAACTAGGTCCCTCATCCGGACTGGCTAAAGGACGAGGTGTTCCTTTTCGCATGTGGCCTTAGCACTATGTTTAGCAGACGTATGTTGACTGATAACCGGCACTTTATGCCGCCTGTATCATTCTTGAATGGCATTTGACTTTTTGGTTTTCTTCTTTGTAGAGAAAAGATTAGAGATGGTGCCTCCAGAGAAGACACCCGCTAAATCGGCTGCTCAGATCCGGAAGATTGAGAAGATGAATGGAGTCAATACTCAACTTTTTTGTCGCATCCCAAGCTTATCAAAGTTGACTTTTTATTTCCCTTCTAGAGTGATGAGGTAGCATGGACTTGCATAAACTATCCCCTATGGTGATGATCGTCGTCCTCATGCATGAATATTCTATTTCAAAGAATTTTGAGAGATTCGATGATTATTGGTACGCAAGACCATTATGGACTGTTGTATCTAATAGATTTCCTCCTTCGTTGTCTCGGGAATACAAATAATGGCTACTCGCATGAAATCAAATGGAAAAGATCAAAGCTCGAAAGTCAAACTCTAAGGGTGTAGAGAAGAGTAACATAAAAGAACGCCTAAGGGACAAGAAGGCTCCACCTAAAGAGAGTTTGGGTTCAAGAATTAAATTTAAGACTCCTATCATGCCTTTAAAGAAAGGTGCTATAAAGGGTAAAGGAAAGAGAAAATCTATACCTATACAAAAAGACAAGAAAGTTTAGGTTGAGAAAAAGGTGGGGGTCTTTACTTAAGGAGAGACTGAAAGGAATGGTCTCCTACAAACAAGTGTTTTATTCCGATAGAGGGTTCAGAATTATTAGAAAGCTAATTATTCAGTGAGGTCAAGTGCTTGGAATGCCTAGCTGGAGGCCGCTTCCGATCAGTAATATTGATGAATAATCAATATTACGGCTTAATTAATCTTGACTGAACCATTTGGGTCACACCCAATCGTGTAACCGAACCAAAGCGAGCTTAGAGCGTCGAAGCCGAGCGACGAAAGTCGACTCGAATTTATGAACTGAAAAATCAGCCAAACAACAAGTCAACGCGCATGAAAATCCTAGCCTCGATATGGCCTGGCCAATCGAGGGCTAGGTTGGCTAGCATAGCTAGTCGGGCTCCTTGCCGCAAGGCAAGGCTTAGCCGCAAGCCCAGCATGCATCGCATGCACTAGCTGGGCGAGCTGGCCGAGAAGCCATGCGGGCAAGGCTCGCCAGCATGGCGAGCATGCATGCGGGGAGGTGCACCAGCAAGGCGTCCTGGGCCTCGCTGAAAGTAGCAGCAGCGGTAGCACACAGCGCAGCAGCCCGCATTGTGTGCGAGGCTTGTTGGCTTGGTTGTGCGTGTGTGCGGGCTGGCTGGCAGGCCCAGCTGAGCACCAGGCCGCTAGCAAGGCATGCCTTGGTGCCCAAGGTTGGGTGCCTGCTGGCGCCACATGGTTTGTGACGGCTATTTGCTTGGGGAGCAAGGGAAGGTGGTCCTTCCCTTTGTGGTCCTCACCTACTCCCTTGCTCTCCTTGCGCCACTTGTCATTTGATGATTGTTTTGGCTTTTTAATTTAATATGTAATAAAATTTAAATCTTATTTTTTCCTTTTTACCGACTATCCCACATTGAAAGATGATGGAAATTCTTGGCGACATTTCCCTATAAATACCCATCATTGGGTATTGGGAATTTCACTTGAGTTGGTGAACTTTAAGGGATCTCCAAAAGTGAGAAAACCTTTGTTCGTAAACTTTAAGTTGTTTTGGTCTAGCCCCGACTAAGCTTCGGGTAGGGACCGGTTACGCTTTGGTAGCGAGGGTGTGAGCCGTCGGAGGTTCTCATACTTGCGAAACTTGAAACTTTCAAGTCCGAGCTCAACGGTTGAGCGAAGCACGCTTCTAGGGTGAGCATTATTTCTCTCTTCTCTCTCTTCTCTTGTGTTTATGTTTATTTGCATGCTTTTATTTATGTTGTAATTATTATGCATGAGATCCGGTTATCGGGTTTTGTTTCCGCGCAGTGTCGGACACCGCAAAACCCAACATCGATATAAGGGCCTCTTGCATTTAATTTTTACAACTAAAATAAATTTTATTAAGGTGATTTAAAATGGATTTAAATTTCTTGTTTAGCATCCTAATTAGTTTAGGAGCTCGTTTTTTATTGGATTAAAACGTATTTATGCTAATTTTGGATTACAACTTCGATTTGGACTCAAAAATAGTGAATTTTGGGTGGAATCGACGTTCTAAATCAGACTTTACCTACTTTGTGGATAAAAATGGCCTTCTAGAAGCCAAAATCCATCCACAAAGTGTTTTTTGAGGGGTTTTTCTTTTTGACGAAAAAATTTAAATCTATAAACCTTGATTAATTATGGCATGCAATTGTTGGATTATGTGTTTGATTATACCATTAATCTTCTGCAATTTAACCCTCATTAAGCATGTTTATGAAGTCTTAATTGGTGCTTAATTTTCTTAGCTCTTATTTTCACATAAACTTGCAATTTCACATTTTTGCAAATTAATTGCTTGGAGTGTCAATGTTTATGGTGAAAATGTATTTTTGAAATCCCTAACATGTTAAAGATTCAATCTTTAATTGTTTATTTGGTTGGATCTTAACTTTCTAAAATCCATAATGAACAATTTTTTGGTTTTAATCATTTTTTAGTTGATTAAAATCTTAAAATGTTCATACTTGTGCTTAAATAATTACTGTTTTTCATATTAGATGATTACAATATTCAAATGTGCACAAGTGAGTGTTGGATAAAAAAAAAAATTCATTAGATGAATGATTATTTATCCAACTATTTTGTCAAATCTCATTATTAATTTATGTTGGTTAAATTAATTGTGATAATAGCCCTCAATTTTTGTAGCATCAAGTTGAGCCAAAAATAATTTAAAGAATGGTTTTTGAATTAATTTTGGTTTGTGCACTAAAATTGAATTTAATTAAGTTAGACTTGTGTTAATTTCAATATTGCTCAAATATTGGATCTAAAATAAATTAAGAAATAATTTAAAGACACACACAAAATCGGAATTTAATTTTGAAGCATAAGCATAAAAATTGAAGCGTTAAGCATCGAAGCACCAACTCGACTAGCTAGGCTACACACTCCACATGTGGTTGCCGAGGTGATGCGTGCGAGTGTGTGTGAGCATAGGTGTGTGAGGGTTTCCATGTGCAAAGGGCACGGGCTGCTAGGCAACAACCAGCCCGCAAAGCAAGGCTGCGAAGGCCAGCCAGTGATGCGCTGTTGTGCTATGTGCGACCAGCACATGCTAGTAGTGCGCTGGAGCTGCTAGGCAGCACCCAGCCCGAGCGACCATCAAGGCTGCTCGGCTAGGCAGCCTAGCAGCACCCAGCCCTTGGCTTGGGAGGCTAGGCTTTGGTCTAGGCTTGCGGTTTTGCGATGTTGTTTAAAACGAGGCTAGGCCTTGGTTTTTTCACGTACTTGCAATATCATTTCGTAAAATTTTGGGTTAACCGGCTTAATTAATTTTAATTGGATTAATTTAATTTAAGTTGGATATGGAATTTAGTGAGAACTTCATTAATCGTTTGAGCTATTATTATTGCGTTAATTCACATAATCGGATAACAACTTTGATTAGTTTTAATTAGGCGTGTTAATTGGATTAACCACCTAAATTAGTTACTAGTTTGCGCGTGTTTTGCATTGTTGCATGAATTAATTGTAAAATGCATGGGCCATTCATGTTAGTGAATGGATGAATGGAATAGATATTCTAATGTAGGTTTTACAAAATGGCAACTAGTGGGGCCCGACTAGGATAGTAAATACGGACTGCGTTCCGTTTTATATTTTTGTAAATCTTGATACGGATTGCGTGCTGTTAAGTATTTGTATTTAAATTAGTCCTAGCTTTTCTAGTAGTTGCATGATTGGTGGTGATGTCTCGAAGAAGGCGTTTCTAAGAAGACGAAGCCGAGAAGATGCAATGAAGGCCCTTGAAGATTTGAAGATTCAAGTTCAAGGCGTCATGCTAGTTTCCAAATGCATCTTTATTTATGCCTTATATATATATATATATTTTTCTTATATATAATTTCGATATTAGATGCTTGTTTAGGGTTTCGAATGTTGAATGAATAATTTAGTTCACTTAAATCAACCAACATAGAAACCCTAAGACCCAAAGAATATTGAGTCAAAATTGTCATTCCAAAATGACACTTACGGAACTAATGATAATAGTAATGGACTATGCCAAAGCAAGGCATTACTACTTTCCTAGGGAAGTAAGGTATTTTGGTGTGCTTGCCAAAGCAAGGCATCATATACACGTTAGTTTTGGTTAAACTCAACGATATCAGTAAGGAGTCCTTAGATGTCGTAGCAATGGAGATAAACGTCAAGAAAGCATTAGATGCGACGTTTTATCGAACCAACAGTAGCTTAGAGATATTAGCAATTGGATTGCTTACCTTAAAATATTAAGTGTTAAGACAAGCCAAAGCATGCTTAATAGGGGAGAGCAAGACCGGGTACCCGGTCATATTTGCAATACCCAGATCCGAAACCGGTTATAACCGGGTCCCAAGAATTGGAACTGGTCCCGAAACCGGTTAATACCGAAACCAAATTTCTTGGAACTGGTCTCGGACCCGGTAGGAACCAGTTCCAAAACCGGGTACCCGGTATTATTCAAAGTAGTAAAACACTGTTTTTTTTCTTAATAATTGTTATATAATATATTAATATATATAATGGAATTTCGCAGGCTAGTTATATTAATATCCCTAAATTAGTTTTGCAGGCTAGCAAAATACAAATATTTCAAAATACAAATATTACAAACTAATAAGCCAATTAAAGTACCAATTCAACAACCTAAAATATCAGTATTGTACAACAATGCTGCAAACAGCCAAACATAATCAAAACAACAAGTACTTAAATAAAAGTTCAGACAGAAAAGGGGAAGAAAAGGAAGGGCAGCAGCAGCAATTGAGCACACCATCAGCCAGCAATAAGACCAGCAGCAACCATCTAAGCAAGCAGGGCAGCAAGGCAGCAGACAGATAGGCAGCGGACAGCAACGCAGAAAGGCAGCATACAGCAGACAGCAAAGCAAAGAGCCAGCAGCCAACAAGGAAGCACAAATTCCCTATAAAAAAAAGCCAAAATGTCCTTAGAATATTTCATAAAGGTATAACCCAAATAACCAAAACCAATATCAAAATACAAATAGTTCTTAAATCACAGAGATAAAGGAATATCATAATAATTAAAATCAAAATAGCACACAAAATAGCAAGAAAGTTATGTTGGAATTTAAATCTCATAAAATAATTTTACATTTCCACCTTGCCTCCCTACTTTATAACATTTTTAGAAATACAAGTATAAAAGCAAAAACACGTAGTTTTATTGGAAGAAAAAAGAAAAAAATTATTAGATTCTACTCTACATATTATCATGATTTGTGATAAATAATCTTGTATAAAGAATGCCCTTATTGAAAGATCAAGGTTTATGTGCGAGAAATTGAAGGGTTCAATCCTGACCTTAACTCTATTCTCTGGGCAACACATCGGAAAACAGGCTGTGGCTTGGGTTTAGCCATTAAATACCAATAACATTGATGCTTTTAATCCTAAGCTAAGCAGACGATGCATATAAGAAATAAGCACATCCATCTGTCCTCTGTTGAAAATGAATTACTTGAATATACAGAGTAGTAAATGCATGAAGAATTACTTGAATCTGAATTTCTGTTTTAGAAAATTTACTTGTACTTAATCTCAATACAAGTAATAATACTTAATACTTCGTATCATACTTGTACCAAATGTTTATGCAATTTAGTACTTCGTATCAATAACTTCTTAATAGGAGTAAACTTGTCTTAAAGGCTAGATATGATATTTAATCCCCTTTGTTTAGGCGGTATTTTGCTCGTATATTATGCTAATTGACAAATGACAATGCATGTAAAACTTGTTTAATTGGTGTAAATGAACTTTGCCATTTTAGAACCCCACCAGCTACTAGTGGTTTATTCTTAATTCTAAAGAAATGGAAGAGCTATTTGCAAAAGCATTAACAACGACATTTAAAATCTAGAACCCTAAATCTTACAAAAATAAATAATTTGGGGGTTATTGATGAAACCCTAGAAATTAAAACTCAATAAACACAGAAAATTACCATCACCAAAAAGAGATTCGCATTTTCCATAAGCAAGCAATAACAGTTAGACAGATCATATTCAAGCAAGAACGAAATCATTTCTCATACTCAAATTACGTTGAAATAGAATCATAAACAAATTCGCAGCAATTCAGCCAAAATATTAATAAATCTAACTCAAAATCAAACAATTAACCAGAAAAAAAAAAAAAAAAAAAAAAAAAAAAAAAAAAAGATAAATACAGTATATATATATATATATATATATATATATATATATATATATATATATATATATATATATATATATATATATATATATATATATATATATATATATATATATATATATCACAATTCGGCGAAACGAAGGAAAATCCAACAGACCAAAATTGAAAAAAAGTGAGAAGAGACTTACCAAAGAAGGCAGTGATTCAGAGAAGATCGAGACTTCGAGAGAATCAGGAACTCAAGAAGGATGAGATTTGAGGAGAGAAATCAGAGAATGAGAAATAATGAGAAAAGAGAGGATGAGGAAAGTCAGTGAGAATTAGAGAAGATGGAGGCTGGAAGGAAAAGTAGAAAACCCTAGGTAATAAGACTTAAAACCGTGAAAAATGACTAAATGGACTTATGGGCTGTTGGGTTTTTTAAGAAAATAAATTAAAATTTTATAACTAAATCAATATCGGTTCCAGGTACCCGGTTTGTCTGGATCCGGGACCGGATACCCGAAACCGGAATTGGTTTAAACCGGGTACCCAGTGGCTACCGGGTCCAAAATTTTAGGACTCCGTCCCGGAACCGGTAAGATCGGTTTCGGGTCCGGACTCGGCGGGTCCAAATCGGTTTTGGGTCCGGTACCGGGTACCCTGGGTCTTTGCTCACCCCTAATGCGTAATCACTTTTTGATTTTTGGGGTCTTGGAATCGTTTTATTCTCGCCTAATTGAGACAAATTTATAAATGTGTGAATAGAACATTAATAAGTTAATTGAAATTGCTAGTTTGCATGTATTTCAATGCTTATTATGTTATCTTGATAAATGGTAATACTTTGCACTTATATTTGTAGAATTTTAAATCAAATTATAATGTTTCCAAAGATTGGTAAAAGGAAATCTTTTGAGAATGGTTCTCAAGGAAAGAAAAGGCATTTCTAAAATACAACTTCTCATAAATAACTTTTATGGCTTAGTCCGAAAGGACAGTTGGACATTATGTATTCAAAATACTAGGTTGTTTTGATAAACATGAAGTATTGAGTTGAAAAACTCAAATTGTCAATAGTTGACAACCAACATATGTTTTCGCTTTATACACTAATGAGTAGGAATCATTGATTAGTAATTCAACTACGAATTAAAGGAAAAGATGGAACTTTTTTTTTATGGCGCATTAGATGCTTAATTATGCCTAACAAAATATAAAAGTCAAAACACTTACAGAAATGCTTAAAAGTTATGAGATGATATATGATAAGAAATATAGGAAACAAGGAACATTGGAAAGGAATACGAGATTCTAATTCTACCTAAGAGTTCATGTTATTGTAGTTAAACTTAGCAACTCATTATCTTCACAAGTATCGAATACTGTTTGAGTGTTTCACTTTTAAAGTGACCTCAAACCATTGAAGTTAAGCTAAGTTATTGACTTACAAGCTTGGAATGAAGCAAGTAGTGCTACATCAGTTGTAAGGTCATCTTCTTTGTTTAAAGACCTTTTAAAGCTAAGGCTGGAACAGATAAATGGTTATTGTGTTCCATAATCAACAAACGGTCCCTTTACACACGAAAAGACTCACATTCAAAGTAAAATAGCAATTGTTGTTGGTTTTATTTGAATGGCATGGTTGTTTAAGCCATGAGGCAAGGATGCTTGATTATAAAGAAACATTTCTCTAACATGAAAACTCACAAAGTTCAAGTCATGGACATGATTTGTGTTCCGAACATCTTTAGCAATGTCACATCGACAAGAACATACTCAAGGCTCTATCAGATAGACTCTTGTAAGTTGATCGATTCAGAATCATTCTAAGACAAGCAAGTCTTACTTGTTGAAATCGACAAAGAAAAGAGCTATTATGCTTGGTATAGACAATTGACTCCAAAAGCTAAGGAGGATTCCATTACTTCAACGTTTTTACAAAAATTTGAAAGAATATGACTATATTCATCAAAAGTGAACAAATTGGATCTTGGGTAGCTCAAAAGTTCAGTGAAGTATAGAATCGACTTGGCAAGATATCAAAACATCTAAGTGGTGTCTTTTCAAGTATATGTTTAGGGCTTTTAGCTCAGTGGGAGCTCATTGGCTCAGTGGGAGCTAAGTGGATCAATAAGGGCTAAGGTAGCTCAAGTGAGACTACGGGCATTACTTCCACAACCTGATTGAGAACATAGTATTTGTTGCTCTAAGTGGTGTCTCACTAGAAAATAACACATTTCCAAAACAACAAGTGGGAGGAAAATGAACTCGATGACCATCAAGATTAGCAACAAACTAGAAATGAGAATCTCGGAAGAAATAAGAAGGGCTTCATGAGAATGATTGATCAAGAATACTCAAAAGACTTCACAAGTGTCTTATAAGAGAATTCATAATTCACAAAAACTTTAGAAGTGTGGGAGTAAAATCAATATAATCAAAAAGCTTTAAAAGCGCCTTGAGAGTCAGTGTTGGATGCAATTACCCTGTATAGGTATAGAATTCACCAAAGGGTTGGATTAAATCCTATAAATTTCTATTAAGTTAGAAATAAACCTAAGACTTACAAGCATACTATTTACTATTGGATGGTAAGGGAATAGTGTCTTGTAAATTAGCTATGACAAATCTAAATTCCGAATAATGGTTAGAGGCCATAAAAAATAAAAATAAAAAAATCTGAGACAGACTCCATGTTTGAAAATCATGTTTGAAACTTGATTAATTTGCATGAAGGGTAAAGGCTCATCAATTGAAAATAAGTTTTCAAGGAGAAAACTAACAAATATGGAAATGTATATGCATACATAGCTAGATTGGTTGAAAAGGTTACAATTAAATTCACGGCGTTGATTTAATAAAACCTATTCACTAATCAAAATTCTTAAGTCTTTTCGCGATTATTCTAGCAAAATTGCGCATATGAAATATGGCAAAATAGATATCAAAACTGCTTTCCTAAAAATGGGATTTCGGAAGAGACTATGGATATAGTCTAAGGGTTTTGTAAATCTAAATAATGCTAGATTTGAAAGCAAGCTCAAGAAATCCATTGGTGGATTGAAGGAAGCATGTAGGAATTAGAATGGGCTTTCTCATAAAGTTAATATAAGGTTTAGCTTGTTGAGAAACATGGAAATTCTTTAGTGGGAGCAAAAGTCAATTTTGTGAGGACCAATAAGAAGTTTACGAACTCTATTTTAAAATAACTATCAAATTCTAAATGCTAAGATTTGAAAGAATTTTTCAATGATGGACCAAGCTAAAGGCGATACTTAATTAGTACATAGTGGGAATTAAGATTTATTGTATAGACTTAATAAAATGTTTGAACGAGTAAAGGAATTTACCTTATTAAACATGAAGGACTTGAAAAGGCCTTCAATCCATATGTATAAGGTGAATTAATTGTTTGAACTAAGTATAAGCTAGGCAAATACTAAGTCAAACAAGAAAGACTCAAGTAGAGACTTCAAGCCATATAGCAAATAGTTTAGCAAGACTCAGTGAAACTGGATGAGCCAAAAGTCACATGAATGGGATCAAATTGGAATAATTTTGCAACTGATCCATCATGTATTCTATGATATGGAATCGTCACATGGCCTGCATGCTTAGAGCATGACAAGTATAAAATACCAATCGACTTGAATCTAAGCAATGTATCTTTAGATTATGATCAAGAACGTCCAAGTACTTGGTTAAGTAAAAGGATGAGTTCTTGATGCATGGAAACAAATATAATTTGTGTATTGATGTTGCAAGCACAACCTCAACAAGGATTAGATCCTTGACGAGGAATCCATTTATAAGCACGAGGTTAAGATGCATCGTGGCTTGAGAATGGCAACATGAACTTATGTCCATGTATATTGTTGAAAATTTAAGGTAAATTTCCATAATCACAAATGATTAGGGTATCCAAATCATTGTGAGCCACTTGGAGTAAAATCCTAGCAAACCATCATTAGGAAATCTACTAAAGTATATCTTGAGAACATTGCTGCCTTATAGGCAAATAATAAGGAAGTTGCTAAATGGATAGTTCATTGTTGAACTTCGATGATTGTAGGTTGTCAAGTTGAAGATCTCAAATCATGAAAATGAGTGGGAGCCATCACTTGGACAATAAATCCTAAATCACGTATAATCCATAAACACACTCGAATTTTATAATCTTATTATGAAAGTGTTCGATAATGAAGATGCTAAGATTTGTAAAGTAATCATAAATAAACCTATGCAATAAGTTAACCACAACATTCACAATTGCATAAAAAAAATCAAGCATATTAGATATGGGTGTGATTTCTATAAATTTTTTATAAAGAGTATTACTCTTAAAACATTTGGTGAAACCATTTAGCATATGATGAAACGTTGAAAAGTTTCATAGTGGAATAAAATTTACTAATTATTCCACAAACTATTTAATTGTGGTTTAGAACTAAATAATAAGTCCATTCGATTTGAGAATATTCAAAATAGGGTATCAAGACAATGTCTTGGATAAAGAAACACCTATTAAGTGAACGTTGAATATCATATCGAAATTATCCCTGATCGAGGTCATTTGATAGTGCACGACTAATGACCGCGTGAGATTAGTGTGTAGTATGATTTATAGCACCGTTTCTTGTGCTACAAGGATAAGATTATCATAAATCATTTTAACAGGTATCAGTTTAGAACTATACTGGATCGACTTATGAGAATACTTTAAGAGATTTAACAATCGTCATAAGTATATTACTCATTATGGCTATCGGAACCTCTTTCCTCGACCATGAGCATTGTTAGTTCCCTTGTTTGAGTACTAATCCACTTTGATGTTGTCAAACGTCTGCCATACAAGGGGATTAAAAAGGCAACACTCGGGCGGCTAGGGCCTTTTAGTAAGGGAAGTTGACAATGCAAGACTGGGAATGTCCCCCTATTAACATTAGGGAACATGTCTTTGTTATTTACAAGGCCTCTCGAAGAGCGAGACTGTGAAAATGCATGGCCGTGCTCAGATGGATTTTGGGAGTTCGTCTGTTTATTGATAGTCGAACTCAAAAATCGAGAATACTTCTGGACGTAATAAGGATGACGAAAAATCTTACCTTAAAGTTCACGAAGAGACATTAAGTGACATGGGAAACAGGCTATACACAAACAACACACTTATCTGGAAGGACAAGTGGGAGATCGAAAAGAATGGTGTCCTTCAAACAAGTGTATTATTCCGATAGAGGGTTCGGCATTAATTAGAAAGCTAATTATTCAGTGAGGTCAAATGATCGGATTGTCTAGCTTAAGGCCGCTTCCGATCAGTAATATTAATGAATAATTAATATTACAGCTTAATCTTGACTGAACCCTTCGGGTCACACCCAATCGTGTACCCGAACAAAGGTCTCGCTGACAGTAGTAGTAGCACACAG